GGGATTAATTCCCAGACTTGATTCATTTCAAATTGGTTAAGTTCATCTTGCATAGCTATGCACCATTAATCATCTTTAAGTGTTTCCTCAACATTTTTGGGTTCTATCTGTGACACAAAAGCTACAGACATGCAGAAATTAGTCATATTTCTAGTTCTTACCCCTTTTGAGATATCACCAATGATATTGTCCATTGAGAGTCCTCTTGGTGATTGCCATTCTTTTCCTAATTCAGGTGTTTGAGAAGGCTCATTTTCTTCCAAATACAATTCATCAAGAGCCTCTCTTATATAATCATCATCACCTGCAAGTTCTTTATTTGACTCAAGAGGATTTCCCCCAAGGTCTACAATTTCATCAAAAGTAACATGAATAAATTCTTCAATATTTAAGGTTATTCTATTAAACACCCTGTAAGTCTTGCTAGTTAATGAATAACATAGGAAAATGCCCTCGTCGGCTTTTGAGTCAAATTTTCCTAAGTTGTCATTTCCATTATTTAACACAAAACACTTACATCTGAAAATTTTCAAATGAGCAACATTAGACTTTCTACCGTTTAACAATTCATAGGGAGTTGATTTTATAATTGACCTAATGAGCATTCTATTCAAAACATAACAAGCAGTACTAACCGCATCAGCCCAAAAATATTTAGGAACATTAGATTCATTTAACATTGTTCTAACAAGTTCCTCTAATGACCTATTTTTCCTTTCAACTACACCATTTGTTGGGAAGTCCTAGGAGCAGAAAAGTTATGTAATATTCCATTTTCTTCACAATAACTTTCAAACTTTTCATTTTGAAACCCACCACCATGGTCACTTCTTAAAACTTTAATTCTTAAGTCTTTCTCATTTTGAATTTGTTTTGCAAATTTTCTAAAGACATTAAAGACTTCACTTTTCATAGTTAGGAAAAATGTCCAAGTATATCTAGAGTAATCATCAACAATCACAAGACCATAATAATTTCCACCAAAGCTTTTTATCTTAGAAGGTCCAAATAAATCTAAATGTAATAATTCTAGGGGTTTTGAAGTGAAAATAACATTCTTTGATTTAAATGATGATTTTACTTGTTTACCTTTTTTACATGCATCACACAATCTATCTTTTTCAAATTTTAACTTAGGCAAACCAATAACTAAGTCTTTTGAAATCAATTTGTTCAAATGATACATATTTATATGAGCCGCTCTTTTATGCCATAACCAAGGGTTCTCTTCCTTAGCAACTAAACATGTTATGCTAGAATCATGTAAACAATCAAAATCAATCAAGTATATGTTGTTATGCCTAATGCCTTTTAATTCTACATTTTCGGAATCTATCAAATGTATGGTGCAAAATTTACTTTCAAAGATTACCTTAAATCCTTTGTCACATAGTTGACTTATGCTAAGGAGATTATGCTTTAGTCCATCAACAAGAAGCACATCCTTAATCTTCAATGTGTTTGCACCACCTATATTTCCAATTCCAAGAATTTTCCCTTTGTTGTTGTCCCCATAAGTTACATATCCTTGTTCTTTAGCTTTGAAACTCACAAATTTTGATTTATCACCGGTCATATGCTTTGAGCATCCACTATCAAGATACCACATAGACTTCTTAGATTTGGAAGTTTCCTACAAAACAAGAACATAGTAAACTTAGGTCCCCATAACTTTTGGGTCCTTGGGGTTAGAGACAAACAAATTATTTAACAATAGGAACCCAAATGTATTTACCTTTAGGAACACCAAAATGTTTAATTTTACATTTATTTGAAGTGTGACCTTGTTTCATACAATAAAAACATGCTTTAGATGTAACTTTTGAATATGATGAATTTTTAACCATAGATGTTCTAGTTCATTTTTCTACTCATACTCTTTTATTTTTCCTTTTAGGATTTTTCAAAGGAACTTGATAATTTACACTATTTTGAGCTAACACAATTTCATGCTTCTTAAAATCACTTATCTCCTTTTCGGCTTTGTCTAGCAAATGGTTAAGAATATCTATGTGATATTCATGCTCTTTACAAGTTGCACATGCTAAATTCTTATCATCATTCTCATCTAAACATACAATTTTCATTTCTAAGGATTCCTTTTCTTCTAAACATGTGATTTTCGTTTTTAATGAGTCAATTTCTTTTTCGGATCTACATAAACTCTTCTTCACAACTTTATAATCATTTTTCAAGTTCTTAAAGGCACTAAATAATTCATTATATGCATTTTGCAGTTCATCATAGTTATTATCATCATCACTAGAAGATGAGTCGGAATCACTTACCTCAAAATTGGAAGATATGTTGTCATTTGCCATTAAGCAAATATTGGTTTCAACTTCCGAGTCACTTGATTCCGAACTTGAATCACTGTTGTCCCAAGCAATATAGGCTTTCTTCTTGAAGAACTTTTTGCCTTTGATTTCATCATTTTTCTTGTTTGGACATTCGGTCTTTACATGTCCTGCTTCACCACAACCATAACATTTTATATTTACGGAAGTACTTTCTTTTACCTTTCCCTTACCTTTGAATGGATGCCTTCCTTTTGCTTTCATGAATTTGGTGAACTTCTTTATCATAAGACTCAATTCTTCTTCTTCATTTTCCGAGTCTTCTTCTTCCTTTTTATTTTTACCTTTGGAAATTTCGGTTTTGAAGGCTAAGTTCTTTTTTTGATATTGTCCTTCTTCTTCATTTAGCCTTCCAAGCTCAAGCTCATGCTCTCTTAGATTTCCAAAGAGTGCCGCCATTGACATAGTGGCAAGGTTTTGTGACTTTGAGATGGCCGTCACCTTAGGTTGTCATTTCCTATCCAAAGATTTTAAAATTTTAACATTCAATTCATCAACGTCAAAGATTTTACCTAATCCGGTGAGATGGTTCACAATATGAGTGAAACGCTTTTGAACGTCGAATATAGTTTCGCCTTGTTGCATCCGGAACATCTCGTATTCTTAGATTAAGGAATTTTTCCGTGCTCTCTTAACGTCGTCAGTACCTTCATGGGTTACTCTTAGCATTTCCCACATCTCCTGAGCACTTTTACAAACAGAAATCCTGTAAAACTCGTCAAGGGTTAAAGCAGATGAAATTATATTTCTAGCCCTAACGTCAAATTGTGTTTTTCTGTTTTCCTTTGTTGTCCATCTAGAAACAGGTTTAGGAATGTCAAAACCGTTCTCAGTAACTTTAGGAACATATGGACTGTTTAAAATAGCGTCCAAAACGCCTCTATCAATAGACTCTAAAAAGATTTGCATTCTTACTTTCCAGAAAGGATAATTTTGACCCACAAAAAGTGGGAGTCTGTTGATAGACCTCATACAAAAAAGTAGGAGAAGTTCACCAAGTATAAAGAGAAAGAAATTTTGTCATAAATTAGGACGGTCCATATAATTAACTCCCTAGAGATCATGACATATAAGTTATAAGAGCTATTCAAGAAAATTATCCTTAAGCATAGAACGATATGTCAATAACCACAATATCAAGATATATTCATACATCATCAAAAAAACATTCTCCTAACAACAAGCTAATGCGAAAGGATGAATCTTGCTGAGCTCATCATAATAAATTTTCTTCCTAGTAAGTAGCTAGTGTGAAAGGGTGTAACTACCACAGTTTGCCAAAATATTTGCTTAATACCAATCCATTTAGCTTATTGCTAACATGAAATGTTGTACCTACCATAACTGACCTTACATATGAAATATGTTAGCTTCTCACCTACAAGGAAACTAAAGCAAAAGAATATAACTATTGTAGTACATTACCACTAAACATAACTATCACAAAAATGAAGCATTCATAGTTCATCTTAAACAAATAAAAAAAGTAATTCAACTTTATCTTAAATTATCTCAATTATACATTAAAATCAAGTTAGGTATTATCTAAGTACACCATTGTGCCAATAATCATCATAACAATTATCCAAGTACAACGTTATATTATAACAATAATAAATCATAACACTTGATATCATTCAATCAAAAACATTGTCACAATATACAAAACACTCATAAAACTTCATTATTACCTAAAAATTATACATGTATAACGTGAATTTGACTATCTTCATATAATTGAAAAAAAAAACTGTTTTTCTATTTTGAATAATTTGGTAATAATTTTATATTGACCACACTCCATATTAATTTGTCCTAACTCTTTTAATATCCTTGTATTGTCCAGTTTATTTTATTATTATAATTTTTTTTGGTAAAAAAAGTTTTAATAAATTAGTTTTTTACTATGTTAACATATTCAATTTTTTTTAATAGTCAATAATTTTTTTTTATTTTATATATAAAAGTACGTAAAATTGGAAATTATTTTATAGTCTAACTAAGATTGTCTCTGAAATCTTTTTTAATCATGCTTACATTTTTTTAATTTTATTCTTAATAATATTATTGTTATATATAGATAATATTTATCGTGTAAAATAGTTAGTTATTAATTTTCTTATAGGTTGAGCTTGAGGCATTTTCATGAATTAATGTTGAAGACAAAATCACTATTATTGTTCCTTACATTGTGCTGAATGACATTCTTTTCTTTTATATATTTTGTTCTCCATTAGTTATGTACTTTTTGAGAATTAGAAGATGTTTCAAATACAAATCCTACTCCATTCATGGATCATTGTTTATTTTTCATTAACCATAGACATTTTTTTCTTTCTTTTCTTTTCTTTTCATATTTTTGCCAATATATTAAGGGTTACTAAAGCATAAGGTTCAACAAAAATAATTGGGTTTTTTATTAATAAGAATTGAATAATGAATTGCATGTGTTTTTCCATTTAATAGTTAGTAATGAGAGACTAACAGGAACATGGATCCCATTAAATAAGCAAAAATAGCAATTGATAGTGTCCAAAGCCAGAGAAACAAAGACTCACACTTCTTCTCCACTCTTGCCAGCTGCCACTGATCCTTCAACTTGTGAGTTGAAATCTCAATACCTTCTCGTTTCGTGTCGTTTAGGGTTCCAAATTGGATCTGATAGAGAGGCGCAGCATGGCGGGTCGTAGAGACGCATTGCTTACTAGAGACAAAGGCCAATCATCCGTCGGATCTCGAATCCTCGCCGCCGTCGTCGTCGGCGTTCTCATCGGCTGCGTCTTCGCTTTCATCTCTCCCGACGGTCTCTTCACCGCCGCTCCCACTCCTCCTCTCATTCGCCACCCCAAGGTTTTCATCTTCCTCTTTCTCTTTTTTATCTCTTCATTTTGTTTACGAGTCAATGGTTTAATTTCAAATGCTGTTATGTTAATCTTTGAATTGAAGAAAATTGACAAAGAGTGTCTGAAAATGATTCATAGCCAAATTAGTTCAAAATTCAAAAGATCTCATGTTGCTAATTTTACTACATTAACATGAATTTAGGGTTCAAAATCACAGTACGTAATGAAATTTCGAAATTTACTTATTGAACATATTTTGAATTTCGGAAGTTAATATGACAACACTTGCCACTTCCAGTGGCTAGAGTGATCGTTTACTATTTGCAGGATAGGGAGTAATGTTATATGGTTCAAATTAATTCTCGATTACACCACCGACTTAGTCTCTCAAATTACAATCATTTGTTTAGATTCTATGTTCATTGCTCTTACACTGTGAACAAATCACTCTTGAACTTTTAAAGTAATTATTGGGATAAGCACTTTTGGTTCTTGAAAAGGTAGTGTAGTTATATTAGTCTCTAAAATAAGAAAATTCTAAAAAAACATCCTATAAGTTTAATTTACCAAACACTTTAGTCCAAATCCTCCTATAAGTTTAAATCTTGTACAAATCTTCCTAATTTATTGCACACAATGAGAGAGAATGTGTGAAACATGTTAGAATTAATCACAGTTAATTTATAGATATCACAATCTGCACAAATATGCATAATCTCCCCACTACAATTTGTCTGCAATGTCCGCACTATTATCCTTAACATTTATAACTTTATCATTTTGACATTTCACTTTGGTGTGGATCAATCAATTTAGTCCCCTTACATCTGTCAATTTGGTTCCGAGTGATTCTTAATCCTTGATTTTGTTTAGTGTCCCTAACACCAGGGACCAAATGGACGTGCAATTATCAAATTTAAAAAACTAAATTAGTTCATTTTGTGTGTAAAGGACCAAATTTGATGGTTCTATCAATCTTAGGGACTACATTAAACAATAGTTTAAAGTCTGATAAATTTGCTTATTCATAATGTCTGGAATTAAATTAACCAGTACTTAAAATTTTGGTGTATTACTCATTTATTCTCGTAATGCTAAGTAAAGAAAATATTAAATAACAAACTAAATGTATTAATGTCTTAAAACATATAAAATACTGAGTAGAAAGATGCGTATGAAGAATAAGAGGGTATAGAACTATTACTTACGTTGATTTTTACTGTTGATTTTAGATGGTTTCATCTGCATGTGAATCGCCAGAACAAGTTAATGCGCTTAAAGTTGACATTCTATCAGCAAAAGAGAAAAATTCCGAGCTGAAGAAGGAGGTGAAGGATCTTATGGAGAAGCTGCGTTTGGCTGAGCAAGGAAAAGGTCATGCACAGGAACAGTTTCTTGTTCTCGGTGAGAGTCACAAGGCTGGGCCTTTTGGAACTGTCAAGGCTCTGAGAACCAATCCACCTGTCATTCCTGATGAATCCGTGAACCCCAGATTGGCCAAGATCTTGGGGGAAGTTGCTATTTATAAAGAGCTTATTGTTGCTCTTGCTAACACTAACGTGAAGGAGATGTTGCAGCTATGGTTCACCAACATCAAGAAGGTTGGCATACCAAATTATTTGGTTGTTGCTTTAGATGACAACATTGAAGAGTTCTGCAAATCCAATGATGTTCCTGTGTATAGAAGAGATCCTGATCAAGGTGTTGATGCAGTCGGTAAGAGCGGTGGTAACCATGCTGTTTCGGGATTGAAATTTCGTATTTTAAGAGAATTTCTGCAACTGGGTTATAGTGTTCTTCTATCGGATGTTGATATTGTGTACCTGCAGAACCCTTTTGACTATCTGTATAGGGATTCAGATGTGGAGTCTATGTCGGATGGTCACAATAATATGACAGCTTACGGGTATAATGATGTCTTTGATGAACCCTCAATGGGTTGGGCTCGGTATGCTCATACCATGAGAATATGGGTTTATAACTCTGGTTTCTTTTACATAAGGCCTACGATTCCCTCAATTGAGCTCTTGGATCGAGTTGCAAACCGGCTCTCCAATGAACCAAAATCGTGGGATCAGGCAGTTTTTAATGAGGAGCTCTTTTTCCCTTCTCATCCTGGTTATGATGGACTTTATGCTGCAAAAAGAACGATGGATATGTACCTTTTTATGAACAGTAAGGTTCTCTTTAAGACTGTCAGAAAAGATGCTAAACTCAAGAAGCTGAAACCTGTGATTGTACATGTTAATTACCATCCTAATAAGTTTGACAGGATGAAGGCAATAGTTGAATTATATGCCAATGGGAAACAGGATGCGCTGGATCATTTCCCAGATGGTTCTGATTAACAGGAGCGTTAGAATGAATATGTTTCCAACACGAGAAGGATTTGTATGTTCCAATTGATGTGATACAGAGGCATTCATTTCACTTCACCTCCCAGGATCAGTTCTATCTCAATGCATTTTCTGTTAAGTTTTGCAATTTGTTGTGTTTGACAATTAAGCAGGTTTTCTGTGTACCCTATGCTCTAAACTTTGTATATATTTCTTATTTGCAATGCGTTCAAATGCAACGTGTCTGCTGCCATGAAGATGACCCCTTCGTTGTTGTTCTTTTCTAATGCAGAGAAATTAACTGTTCGTATTATTGTTTTGTTAAGATTAAACATATAATTTAGGATTTAGTGTCTGTAAGTTCATGTGTTTTGCTAAGGTTGAATATATAATTTAATTTCTGAGTTTCTTAATTTGGTTTTTGTATATAAATCTTAGTAATTAGTCCTTTATATAATATTTCGGTTTTTATTTTATTTTAAATTTATTTTTTGTCCTTATATTCTTAATTTAATAAATTTAATCTCTAACTTTTAAAAATATATAATTTTAATTTTTTATCTAAAATTAATATTTCGTGATATTTTTTATCATCACAAAATTGATAGAATATTATAATTCTTAAAATCAAGTTTTAAGATTTGATTAAATTTATATTTTTTTATTTTGAATTAATAATTAGCATTTAAAGTTTATGAACTAAAATCCAGTTTTACGAAAACTAGAGAGATATTAAGAACATATTTAATTCTCATATAGTAACTCGTTGTCAAATTGATTTTTGTATCGGTAGCACATTTTGACAATCGCTTTTATAAAAAGTACAATTTTTCTATTTAGTCTTTATATATAAAAGACCAAATTTCGTGACTGAATTAAGAATTTATTAGATATTTAAAACCAACTAAAAAAGTAGAAGGGATTAAATGGTGACAGAAACTAAATGAAAATGAGTAATGTTTAGACTTGGAGTGGATCAATTTAATAAATATTTATAATTATGGATTAAGTAGAATTTATTGGTCAGATTTGGGCTTTTCTTCTGCAACAGTTTCATGTCTCTGGGAATTTTGTAAGTATCTGTTCCTTCGCATCGATATCTTCCTCACTTCACATGGCACGTTAATTGTTTATTTTATTTTATTTTATTTTGTGGTTGACGGTAGTGGTGGATGACATGATAGCCTGAAAATGTGAATGAGTGTTGAAGTTTAGGTAAGTCAACGCAGCTAAGGGCACAAATAGTGGCCATGAAGTTGTGTGAGAATAATACAACCTGTCATCTAAGACAAACTTTTTGGCTTCTTCTACCTGTCATGCCTTATTTGGATTGGGGAATGAGTTTCAGAACATGAAAAAAAAATAGAGAAAAGAAATGAAAAGTACAATTGTTCGGATTACGAAAAAAAGAGAAAAAATAAAAAGAGATAAGTTAAAAAAAATTGATAGATGATAAAATTGAATAATGAAATAAAAAATATAAAATATATATTAATTAAAATAATATTCTATTAAGTATAAATTATAATTATGATATAATTTAATATAAAATAATTATTTTATATTATGGATAAAAATGAAGTACATTAAATTTATATTGTATATAAAAATTATAAAAAAGTGGTATTTTATAGAAATACTAAAAATTAATTTCTTTGATACCTTAATAATAATTTATTATTTGTTCTAAAATTGTAAAGATTTGATTTAACAAATAATATGTTTTAATAACATTGAAATTAAACACAGCATTCATATTAAAGATGTAGTCATCTAAAAAAATTCTTAAAGTCATCTAAACAAAAATTTATATAAAAAAGTATACTAATAAATAATAAAATTATAGTCATCCAACATAAATAAATAAAAAGTATAGTCATTCAAAATAAACTTAAATAAAAAGATAATCATAAAGATAACATTGAGATATTTACTCACTCTCACAAATATAATGAAATATATCTTCAACCTCATCAATCATATGGTGCACTATTAATCCCTTTTTGAATATTGTAATAGTTATTTTGAATGTTGACTTCAAGTCTACCCATGCATTGTTATATGTCTTGAATACCTCCCCATATTAAGTTTATGATATCAACTTGTTGGGAAAGATATACTTATTCTCTTTCAACGGGTGAAGATTCTTGTTTAACCCCCATATCTTCATCTTCAATATAAGGATTATCTTGCCCAAAGTCAAGTTGTTGGACATGGTGACCCTTGTCATGTTGTCAAGCATTATCAACATTCGGAACATTCAACTTTTTTTAAAGATATCTCGTTAAACCTATTAGTCTAACTCAGGGACAAATTTGATTGTAAAGTCAAATTCAATCAACAATGTAATAAAATACGAGTGATTAAAAAATTATAAAGTAAAAAGATATTATTAGTCTTACATTTTCCCATATATCTTATGATATAGTGAGGTCAATTAATCGAAATTTGATTCTTTATGTATTATATCATAAATATATCATCTTATAAGATTTGAGCATAATTGTCTCCCACAACTCAAAATATAAACAAACATATAATGTAGAAATTTATCTTCCACGGTCAAATTACTAGCATTCATATAAGTTCTTACTTATAGTTCCGATCTAATCATTATAAATGTCTCATCTTATCATATCTCAGTTTACATATTTTTTTAATTATTTACTTATAGTTAAATACATAATCTCTTAACCAAAATTAATTACCTAAAAAAAGTAATGTAATTTTTTTATAATTATTTACTTATAATTGAGCCAATTAATTCCTAACCTATCACTTATTCTTAAGACTATTTCTTAAAATTGACAATTATTTATAGCTATAATAATCCTTATAATTAATTATCTAAAAATAATTATGCAATTTTTATTTATTTATTTACTTATAAACTAAAAAATGAACTCCTAACCCTCCACCGAGACAAATTTTCGTTCCTATTTTTCTAAGACAGTATTTTATTTTATTTTTTAAAAAATTTTACTTCAAATACATCTTATAATAACTTACCAATTAATAAACAGGTTGTATTTCACAATTATTTAATTAAACATTTTCTTATAATTACATTTCCGGATAAGTGTAAAATTAATAATTCAACATTAATAACATATTATATAACAAATTGAACAATCATCATTTTCAAATAATGCAGCACCAAATCAATCAATGAAGCACATAATTGATTATGTGTATTCTGACAATAGATTAAGAAGAACCACATAATTTATTATCATCACAATTATAATTGATTATATCATCCCTTATAATTAATTATGTACCCTAACATAATTGATTACACATTACTTCATAGTATGTTAATCTTTATATATAACAATAGCACATCTGAACAACAATTCAACAACAAATTAATACCATGTAAACTTATATAGAGTAATATAATAAGTAATTTGACATCTTAAATCAATGAAATCATCAAATAGGTGAAAGCAGAAGTACCTCTACAAGGTTTTATGGTTCGTTCCATCGATCCTTCAATCACACATTCCTTACAAAGGCTAAACAGAACCATGACTACATTCAACGTGCATGGCAAGAAACAGTGGTCTATGATTGAGAAAACATATACTGTATTTACTATGTATTAATGTGAGTTGCAATGGTAGCTAAAAAATTAAACATAAATATATGTGAGTGCAGTGTCTTTAGAAGATATTCTCTACCATTTTGTAGAGTGCACATTGAAAGTTTGTATGGGAGACAAAGAAAAAAGTTGTTGAAGGCAATACAAACATTCTTTCAATTACTTGTTCATTTCACATCTTTTCTTCTCAAGTTTAAAGGTGTCTCCATATAGATATGTCTCACCCATCTTTATTCATAAATTATATGAAATCAGCCAATACAAATAATTAATTTCTATGCAAATTTACTCCTTCATTTCATTGATTACGGTACATACATAGAAACAAACACAACGTTAATATCTTGGTTGGTCATAATCAATTCCATGTCTAAACTCCTTTAATATATTCTTTAGATATTATATCTGTTTATTAATTTCTTTGTTCTTACATTTTATAAAGTTAGAGTTTTTTTTCTTTCTCTTACAGAAGTCACTATGTAAATTAGCAAACATTACTTTTTAACAATTAATGATATATTTATTAATAGATTATTACAAAATTTATTATAGAAATAATTTCTAATACTTCACATTAAAATATCTTATAATAAGAAGCACGAGAGATAATGGAAAAAATTAGTTCATCATGTCACTTCTCTTCTTCTTTTGACACATTCATTCATTCGTATATGTATTTGGGGTTTCACCATCTAAGAACATCTCTAATGGTAGGTTCTTATAAGAACCCACATTAGGTTCTTAAGTGAGACCTACATTATCACATCATATTTAAGTAACTCTCTTTAAATTTTTACAAATTCACTCCAATATGGGTTCTTATAAGCAACTCGAGCATTCAACTACCACTTTTTACTTTAATGAGATCCGTTATGCTACATCAGTAATAATTATAATATATAATTAATTATTAAAATAAAATAAATAATATATTTAAATTAAAAAAAATTAAAAATAAAATTAACATTGGAAACATGATTAACATTAATTAAAATAAAAAATATTAAACAATAATGACAATAAAAATAAACGAGAAAAAATTAAAAAAAGCAATTCTTAGAAATGTTCCTTCTACAAGATACGAGTGCTTAACTTTTCAAAATTGTTGTTGTGGGATTGCTCCAATAGCAGTTTCTTATAAGTATCGTTGCTTACAAGCAGCTGGAGCCATAACACAACTCCTGTTGGAGTTGTTCTAAAGATTATTGGCAATCATCTCATCTCTCGTGAACGATAATTAGGAGAAGTGGTAGTGGTTGGATTTTGATTTATTTTTCATAAATTGAAAAAAAAAACATTCCATCAAAACTATTTAAAAGATAAAACCATATTGAATTAAAATTTTAAAATAAATAATATTTTTTATGTAATAATTGATCTAGTAATATTATTATATAGAAAAATGATA